TTGGGATATTTGACTTAAAGTTAGCTTCTACTCCTTAATTAAGTTAAATGCCACAAAATGAAGTGCTTGTATTGGACGTAAATTTTATTTCTCAGCATAGATTTATGATAATTGTCTCGATTGTGGCCTATAATTTGAAGGAAGAACTGAAGTTTAATGTTTGGCTTAGATACGATTTGATGGATACGTGTATAATTTTAGTTTATAGAAATTTCCATATACTTTGATGCAAGTCATTATTTTATAAATCAGGTAAAAAATGTATTTTATGATTTATAATTCAGGTTTGATTTTTGCTTGCTATTTTTATTAGCACATGCATGCACCCCCCATATTCCCCTGCTGAAACATAAATTAATTGGATCTTGACCACGTTCATACGAGGGGGTCTTATAGCTTCAGGGCAAGAGATCTAACCATGCTATTCTGAACTTGAGTGAATGTTTGATTTTTAAAGTTGAAACGTGTGGGGTAAATTTGTTTTAAAATATATTTGAATGTGATGCCTAATGCTTTCTTCTTATAACCTATCTACTACAGTGCAGGAAACATAAGGACCTGTATCTTTGGATGGCAAAGAGCCCCAATGGCCCATCTGTGAAGTTTTTAGTAAATGCTGGTAATTTTCTCTTTAGATTTTTTATGATATTATCATAAGAGCATCTGACTGCATTTTAGGAATAGTCTCATGCATTTCTAATCAATATTTGCATATTATGGCCATAAATTCTTGCATTTCTGGATAATTCATTGCAGAGATTGACATCCCATTTTTTAGCTATAATTTTAGTCTTTGTAGTTATTAATATGTGAAACTATGAGGTAGTCAATAAACATTTTTTTGTCATTTCAGTGCACACCATGGAGGAACTGAAGCTTACTGGAAACCATCTTAAAGGGTCACGTCCTCTCTTGACTTTCTCAGCCAATTTTGATAACAATGCTCACTGGAAGCTTATAAAGGAGATGATCGTTCAGGTATTTTGGTTTTTGTTTCCTCCTTTCAAAGCAAGCATAGTTTTCTTGCCATCGATCTTTGTTCACATTTGAATAAATTTACTTTCTTACTCTGGGTATACTTTTATAGTGATTTTCCTTTTTTTCTTTTTCACTTATAGTATACATGACATCCATATTAATGTGATGCTTTTAACAATTTCTCACCAAAATTTATACCCATGTTTCACCAACAACATGAACCTCTATTCTTGTTCTATAGCTGGATGGTATGACCACGTTTTATTATGGCTGTATTTAACTTGTATATTTTCCACTACAAAATTTGTTCTGAAATCGTTGTCTGTCAAATACAATTATCATCTGCAACATAGTTTTTTTGTGTTATTTCTATATAAATCTGAATATATGCTGACACTTTCTTTTCTTGTTTAGATATTTGGAACTCCAAAGGAGCACAGGAAATCTAAGCCTTATTATGATCACGTGTTTGCTTTTTCCATTGTTGATGATCACGTATGGTTCCGGAATTATCAGGTTGGTAATATTCTCAATATTGAAGATTATGCATGGTTTTTATAGTCAATTTTTCTTGTCTGAGATGAGCCACTTCTTTGCTCACATGTTGAAAATGATAAAATTGAACTTTTATAAATGCTATTAGCAATTTGTTTCCTTAATCCCTCAAAGTTATGAAGCTTTCGTTTTTGATGAAATTGTTTCTCATGATTTCGTTGTTCTCTTTGCTTCTGTTTACAGATAACTGTTCCTCATAATGAATCAGATAAAGTGGCTCGAGGAGGCCTGGATAAAATGACTCTTGTCGAGGTTTTTCTTGTGATATGCCTTTTGAGTAATTTGTATGGTCGAGTACTTGAGATGGTGGTTAATATGGAAAATGTTCTCACAGGTTGGTCCAAGATTTTGTTTGAATCCAATCAAGATATTTGGTGGCAGCTTTGGAGGCCCAACACTGTATGAGAATCCATTTTATGTTTCCCCAAACCAGGTTAGCTGATTTTAAATTGTGTATTGTTGGGGCTTTAATCTATTAAATTTCTTCATGGTTAAATAATCCTCCAAACTGTCATGGATTCTTTCAAGTATAATGTAATGCCCTTGAAAATGTTACATGTAGACACCATTCGGCATCATTTACTAACTTTTTCGATTTTGAATGTTCTTGTTCGTAATCTCATCTCACCTTGATTGTACCTTTTTCAAATTATTGCCAATATTAATGCATATTCTTCTCATTTTGATATTGTTCAGATTCGAGCTTTGGAGAAAAGGCAGAAGGCTGGGAAGTATGCAAAGAAAGTTAAAGCTAAAACTAGGAGAAAGATGCACCAGCTTGCAAATCCATTGGAGCCTGATGAATATGCTGATATGTGGAAAGAATGAAATTTATCATGACCTTTTCAATGGTGGATGAAATCTATTATACTTAAAATCAGCTTGTATCCAGTATAAAATGGAAAATTTTGTCAATTTTCTTGCCATTTTTGACAGATAATTTATCACTCTCAGTTGATTATCTTTTTTCATATAAGTTTTTACTATGCTGTTGTTCATTGTGGCATCATCTGTGTTTTGATTCTTATTCTTGTTGACAGCATGAATGAATGATTAATTTTTTTTCTTAGAAAAACAGGAGATTTAAGGCCATTCCTTTTTTCAGTTTGGAGAGGAAAGGCTGATGGATAACTAGAGAAAAAAATGTGAAATAAGTTTTCCTTTCAATTTAACCTTTTCTGTAGTGTTTGTATGACATTGTTGCTGGTCTTTATACTGTTGGCAGATTACAACACAAGATTGATTCTGAAAATGAATAATCACTATGTACATAATAACAGTGGCAATAGAAATTCAAAACAAGGAAAAAACCTACAAAACTTTTGGTCTTATTATTTGAAGGCAAAATAAAAATAAAAAAGAGCTAGTGATTTCAGTGCAATGGGTGGACAAATGACAGTCGTTTAATGTGGGTCCCAGTGAGTCCAGTTAGTTTCACTCCCTACCCTCGGAATGCTGTTGACCCTTGTGTAAACATCAACCTTGAAATTGGCTCCACACAGAACTCCTTCACTATCTATCCTCGGCATTGCCCTGATCTTGTTCATTGGATGCTCGAAGCTCATCAATCCTCCCTCACTGTGAAACATGAATCCTGCATCATCACCACCATTGATATCAGACCCACTTCATTTTTCATCTTTATGTAAAAAAGTCAAATATGGTTAACTTTATCTATAACCAAACTCATGATGACAAAAATGGTTTTTCACCAGTACCTGTGGGAAAAGGAGCAAATGACTTGGCACAGCCGGCTTTTATGACCTCTAAATCATCAGAAATCACCACAGAGCCATCAGCTGCAATACCCCAGTAGAGTTTAACTCCACCATCAGAACCCTGCAACAATTTAAAAACAAATTCACGAACTATTTATTCCCCACTTGTTCAAATTCCAATTTCTGAACAATATATAAAATAGATGATATTTACATACCAGTGCAGCAAAGACAGTACCAGTCTTGCTATCATAAACAACAAAAGCAAAGCTTCCTTCAAGATCCTTAACAACCTGATCAGCCGGGTATGGACCTCTGTCGCGAAGGGTTCGATATGCAACAATTAAAAACATCGCCTCATTGCTTGACTTTGCCAAACCATACTGCCTATTGAGTGAGTTCAAGTTGTTCAAGCTCCCCAGGAACACACAATATATATCATCAAACCCACAAAACAACCTGCAAAATCATTCATGTTAAACAATCGATCGCTTAACGATAAGAAACATAACAGTGGTGATGAATTTTGAGATACCTTTGATGAGGAGGGAAAGAAGTTTCAGGGCGCACATAAGCAAGAACAGCTGCATGGCCAAAGTTCATGGTGCAAGTGTTGAGAGGGTGATGAGAAAGGAAGTCCTGGAGAGTTTCTTCAGGAGGTTTAGGCCTCTTGGAACCATTGTGAGATGCGGGACTGTTGAGCTCCTCAGGTGGGTTAGCAAACGCCTTGTGGAAAATTGCCAACATGTTCGAATAAATTAACAAAAAATTTGATTACTGATTTCACAGATGGTGATGATCCTACACAAAAACTTGTTCATGTTATTTATAAGGTTGAGTGTGAAGTGTAAGTTGGCATCAATATGTTATCTTTTTATGTGTAAAGTGTGCTGTATCTCAGTGTGATGGATAAGGATAATTCCCTCTCTTACTCCGAGGTATTCTTATCCTATTCACTTTATTATTGTTTTTTTCTTTTATCAAAATTTTACCCTGTTAAGACTTTTAGAATAAAGGAATATGTCAAAGCTGAGCTCTAGTTGTTTTTCATTTTGTTTTTGTTTTTGTTTTTGATTTCTCAAGTTTCTTTCTGTGGAAGTAATTTTCAATTTCTGAGCAAATTGGATATGGTTTGGCAGGATTGGCCTTATCCGGAAATGGGGAAAGTATGACAAATTTCAGTACGAGCAGGTGAGAGAAAGACAGAGACAGAGACAGGGACAGAGCCAGTGTTTTCTTTGTTTTCTGTGGATGGATCATGGAACCGCCGAGTGAGCAACCAGTATTTGAATATTTCTGCTTCATTTAAACAATTTAAAAATGAAAGGGTGCTGAAATCATGGGCTTCCATCTTTATCTCATAATGCTAAATCATTAAGCTTCTCCGTGCACAAGCTTTAAATATTATCCCATTATGTATCAGCAATATGGTTCTCAAATCATGTATCATATCCTATAAACGTGTATTAAAATCTTAATTTTTCGAATGCTATATCATATCATAGAATATATTTTTTTTTAAAAATAATAAATTTTTTCTAAAAATTAATATCATTCTCAAGATTAATTAACGAATTTTATGATATTATTGACTTTAAATTATGGTACTACATAATCAAAATTAATCACAAAATTAAGAATTTATAGTGCGTTTGTTTTCTTTTTGTCCAAAATACTCTATTTCTATTCTTAAAAAAAATGCATGTTTGTTTCCCTATTCTCAAAATCATATCCTATAATATTCAACTATTTAAAACCCCAATAGGTTTATTAATTTAACTAAACACTCCCAATAAAAAAGTTTTATAAATTGAAAAAAATACCCCACCCACCCACATTTGTCAGATTCTAGCAACCACCGTCGAAAGGTGTCTGGAATCTAGCGTAATAGCACACTATCAGCTGGATCTGGTCGGTAGTGCGTCGATCTAACCTTTTTTCGGCTAGACTCACCACAGATCTGGCCGAAAAAGACTAGATCCACAGCCAAATCTTTGGCCACATCTGGCCGTCAGACAACTAATATATGGTTGTCGTTGACCGTTAACAACGACCATATCTTTGGCCGTCACCTTTTCCGACCAAATCCGTGGTGGATCTAGCAAAAAAATGTTATAGCAGCGCACAATCGGCCATATCTGGCCAATCGTGCACAATGACACCAGATTCCGACGGTGGTGGCCAAAATCTAGCAACTGTGGGTGGGTGGGGGTGTTTTTATAAATTTATAAACTTTTTATTATTGGGAGTGTTAAGCTAAATTAACAAACCTAAGGGTTTTTTCCGTTAATTTTCAAATCCTGCCTCTTAAAAATAACCCAACTCAACTTAACAATAATATTTTAAAAATACTATTCAAAATAATAAAATAAACACACACATATTATTTCATTTCAACCATTCGTATCATTTCTAAGATCAATGTCAATATCTATATCTCCACTTGTGCTATTATTATCATGTAAAATGGGAACACGTCTTCTTCTTCAATTTCTCCATACAAAATGGGTAAATTTGGATGGGTTTTAGTGAACCGGGTTGGGTGACCTAGTTCCGACCTAAAATTTTGTTTGGGCCTTTAACCCAAATTAATAAAATCTTATCGATTTGTATCGATATTTTTAAGGATACAAACCGATATGTATCGTATCATACGATACATATCAACGTATCAAAAGGTTTAGAAAGATTTAGGATACACTCTCTAATACGTATCATTAGTGATCTGTATCGAATGATACGTATCACATATCGTAGGATACAAATAACCATGATTTGCAGTGCAGCTTTCTTTACTAAAAGAAAAATTATAAAATTGTGGCAACTTTTTCACATATCAAGAACACTATTATTTTTTACTTAGATATTATCCAATTCTGGATTGAATTAAGAGATTTCAACATTAATTAGTGACTTTTATAATTGTTGCTTCACGAAATATTTCACATAAGATATCTCTAAATTCAACTAATCAAGAAATATTATTATTATTATGATTCTTAATCGATGGGAATTTAACTGTAGGTATTTCTATCTAAATAAAAATTACCCTCTTAATTAGATGATAATCAATTGTAAATTTATTTTATTTGTTTATTTCACTATTTAAAGTTAAGTAGTAACAAGGCACAATTTATAAATAAATTATAGTGAAAAATAATTTAGTAAACTTGCTCTTGATGGACTCTTTAATTTATCAATTATTCCTTTTATTAATTGTTTTAAGAGTAAACCTCTAAATGACATGTTTGCAAGATTTGGCGAAATGATAAGTTTTCACACCTAGTTTCAAAAATTCTAAATTCCTACCCTTAAACCAACACCATTAGTGATTTTTAGATTCTGATAAAGGTGTAAAGGGTTCTATTACCTTATTGTCCTTGACAAATAAATTAATAACTTTTTTTTTTTTGGTAACTGGTAATTAATAAATTAATAAGTTATTTTTTAACCCCCAAATTAATAGAATTAGAAAAATAACCACCTTACTTTCAAATTTATTTCAATAACACCATTTTCTTCAACCTTCACATCATCTCTGTCTCCAACGACCCAGCTGTTGCCACTACTGCCACTACTTAGCCACTATCGTCGAACGACAAACCCAAACACTCCGAAAATCAATCAATCAACTCTAGAAATCGCAAACAAACAAATCCACTCCAACAAATCAACAATCAATCCACCAATAGGGGGTTGTTGTGCAGGAAAATTCGACCTACCTCGAGCTTAGAAAGGACCTGAGGATCCTAGCTCACACGCCGTACTCAATTATCCGAACAGGAAATTTACTTGAAGCCCACGACAAAACTTGTGATTGGAAAGCTAGGTGTCGACAAGTTAACACTAAGCACGACACCTAACAAGCCTGCCAAGCCGCATGAGCACCACGTGTAGTACATGCAGCTGCTTGGCCTGAACAACCGCTAAACTCTCTAACAAACTCCGACTAACCACAACTATAATCACTACTAATCACAATGATAGCTTGACCTCCTCGATCACCTAATTGGCGTCAGAGCAGACAACAATCATTCCGTTGATGCCAACTTCCACGAGCTACCGCAATCGAAGACTCCTATAAATACCCAATTACAATCCTTAAACAAGGGGGTTTTCGAAGATCTAGAGGTAGAGGGCTTAGGAATAGAGAAATTTAGAGAAAAAATAGTTAATCAGTTGTAGTAATCCCACTAAGATAAACTTTGTAATCATTCTCTTATAAAAGAAACAGTGCACATAGGCCTGATTCCATTACTCGACGGAACCACTTAAAAAGATTGTTTTT